CGCTGTTGTGGTGGTCCCCGATTTCATTCAGCCAGCTCTCCAGTGAGTCTCTTGTCCTATTGACAGATTCCAGCTTCACTGTGACAGTAGTCGCCTATAGGGCTGGGCCATATCATACTGTGCACGGTAATACCGGTGTAACGCAGGGGACGATATGAAACATTGCAATAAAATTTGAGTGAAATGCGCATGCGCGGTGCCGTTGTTTTGGTCCGGTCTAATGCACATGGAGTGAGAAGCATGGCGACGACCGAGGAGGAGGGCGAATGCAGTGCATCGACTGACACAGTAGGGCTGGACCCGACTATCGGAATATTCGGTCATTATGGTGGTGTCTGGATAGACAGATAGATTTTCTGAGCAGTGTACTTACATATTGCACCCTTAACAACATGATCTTTACAGCTTAAGATCACCCACACCCACCACTCTCAATAAAGTGTGTAGACCAAATACCTTGACAGTGTAGTCAATCTGAGGAGCCATCTCTGCATTGGTTCCCCCTTTCAGACAGAGCTGTGAGGCAGCATCAGCATAAAGAGCACAAGGCAGAGCTACCTGTAGCAGCAGACACACACTCCTGACACACACATACACACACACACACACACACACACACAACAAGATTATATAAAATAAGTAGAAATCAACAACTAAAATTTAATGACACACAGCAGCTGTTTACAGAGTCAGCAATACAGTCTCACCCTGCTGTCTGTGTATCAGCAGTGTGACTTCCAGACTGGATCTTTCCTGGAGTCAGACTGATGTCGGTGGAGCCAATGCTAGCTCCCTGCAGACTGCCAGAACACAGATCTGAGACCAGCTGCAGGCCGCTCAGGTGCTGCGGTCTGAACACACACAACATGGACACAAAAAAAGCACTTAATAAAACTGTCAACAACTTCCACTTAAAAATGTGACGTTGTAATGTTTCTTTTATTCTGTAAAAAGGGATTGCTAAGGGCTGTTGGCCACATTAAACCATTTACATGAAAAAGGAGTACATTAAAGAAACCAGTAAAAAGATATCCGTTTAGAAAGTGCACAAACCTGGTATGTTATAAACTTGATAAAGCAGCATGGTGGGCAAAACAGGACTGAGGTGGATTTTTGCAAGCTGGATGTGATGTAATATAACCTACCAAGCAGCGACATTAATCAATGAAATCTAATTAACTGATTCACAGCTGCCTGCCGATGCGGCTCTTTGGAAGGAGGACTGCGGCACAGAGATGGAAAACTCATTAGAAGGTTTCCCTAAAATCTACGTGAATTTTTACTTGTGTGATGCCAAATTAAGAGGGCTCCACATTCCTGACCAAGTCTAACTCATCTTGTCTTATTGTGTGTTTGTGGACAGTCTTGTAAAAAATAGATTTTTAAAAAATGTGAGTGGGCTGTGGTCTGCGTCTTCTTTCTACACGCCAGCTGCACACAATGTATCGAGCTAAAGTTTGTGAAAAGCAGTATTCGGATAAGACCGGGAGGTTTGAACAAATCGTTACAATCAACGTGATATAAATAAAATACGTTAACATGATGAACAAAGAAATTGGTCTGTGTTTGTTGATATGTGCTGAGTAAGTTAGCCGATGAATCGACTTCAATGAATAGGCTAACATTAGCCTGCTAGCAGGTGCGCGCTACTTCACCTGAGCCCCGGAGTGCTTCTGCCGGCTCGTATTTTGGTGATTTTGATGGATGATCCGGTGATGCAGCTGAGCGCGGCGGAGACTCTGAGGATTTGTCCGCCCTGTGTGAAAAAGAAAAGAAAAAAAAAGAGAACCGAATCCTGTGTGGTCAGAACCGGCTGCTAACTGCCGCTGTTAGGCTTGTGTTAGCATGTTAGCGGCGCCAAACAACAGCTGACTTTCTTATCATTTCTCCTGTGAAGAAAGTGTGAGTACTCACTCCCTCCATCACGCTTCCGTCTATTTCCATCGCCGCTGAGTCCATCTTCATGCAAAAGACTAAATTCGAACTTTTTTCTACCGCACAACCGTCCAGCTACGCAGCCGCCTCCAACACTTTTCTCCTGCTGTTGGTGATGCTACTTCGTCGTTAAGTGGGACGAATAACTACAACAACCACTTCCGCTAGCTTTCAAAATAATTTTTGTCAGTTTCAGAACCAATACCGGGATTTTTGTGGAAAAAAAAGTAAGATAACATTTTATCAACATAAATCTTACAGGTCTAGTAAATACAAAACTATGAATAATAAAGCAAGGAATTAATTTAAAAACAGATGAAATAGTAACAGGCTGACATTTAATTTAAACCAGAAGCCAGTAAAAGTAGTCTCTCTTAATTTGTTCACTTCCATATTTTTCAGCAAATTTAACATTCATGCACTTAAGAGACAAATTCATCATAGAAAGCATTGCTGATAAGACTGTGTGAATCAGAACTTTAAGGTGGAACTGTTGCAAAGAAAGCCCTATTGAGGATGACCAACAAGGTGAATAGGGCGACTTGGACTCAACACAAGGAATGGACATTACACCAATGGAAAGCTGACTTTGGAAGAAAAAATCTAAATGTGAAATTTCTGAAGAGTGTTCAGAAACTGCTGTCAAAGAAAAAGGTGAAAGAATCTAGTATTTTTAACATGTATTTGTGGATTTGCTCTTTCTTCAGAAATCTTAGAAGTAATCTAAATGTTCTGATCCATCCCACAGTCATTTGTATGGTGGTGAGAAGGCATCCATATTTTGTTTGCCAACTGCCAATAAACATCAATGAACAATTAACTAATTATCCACTTCAAAGCAGAAAGTGACAACATTTAAAGTGGATATCAAATCATGTACCAGTCTTGACTCCGGAGCTTCTGGCAATCTTGGGGACAATCCGGTGGGTGGAGGAAGTTAGGCTAGGACTGGTAATTATATGTTCAGGTTCTGCACTAATGGCACTAAAAGGAGAAGACCAATACTAGAAACTTTAACTGGATTAAATGTATGAAACATGTGCATCAAAGGTCAGGAAACACTATGGGGTTTTATGGATGCCAACGCACTAAAGAATGAAGAAGCTTAT